CCTGTAAATTCCTGCCTGTGACTCCACATTGCCCCACCCACATCTGTCTCCTCCTGGTCTGGTCTTGTCTGGACTGGGCTGGGCCGGGCTGGGCTGGTCTTGTCTGGACTGGTCTGGTTTGGACTGGGCTGGTCTGGTCTGGACCTGTCTGGGTTGGTCTGGTCTTGTCTGTCCTGTGACTCCACATTGCCCCACCCACATCTGTCTCCTCCTGGTCTGGTCTTGTCTGGACTGGGCTGGGCCGGGCTGGGCTGGTCTTGTCTGGACTGGTCTGGTTTGGACTGGGCTGGTCTGGTCTGGACCTGTCTGGGTTGGTCTGGTCTTGTCTGGACTGGGCTGGGCTGGACTGGTCTGTTCTGGACTGGACTGGACTGGTCTGGACTGATCTGGGCAGGGCTGGTCTGGTCTTGTCTGGACTGGGCTGGTCTGGACTGGTCTGGGCTGGATTGTTCTGTTCTGGTCTGGACTGGACTGGTCTGGACTGATCTGGGCTGGTCTGGACTGGTCTGGTCTGGTCTGGGCTGGGCTGGCCTGGACTGGTCTGGTCTGGACTGATCTGGGCTGGTCTGGACTGGTCTGGTCTGGTTTGGACTGGGCTGGGCTGGTGGGTGAGGTTGCCCACAAACTCCTGGTCCTCACCGTTCTGACTCAGGCCACTTGGCGTTTCTCTTCTCCTGGATGACGGCAGCCGCCCCGACAGCCTGGGTGCTTGGTGCAGGGTGGGCTATGGGGAGGGCTGTGGTGTGGCCTGGCAAGGCCTGTGCTGTCGACCATTAGGGACCCCCTCCTCCAGGTCCACTGGCACCACCCACCTCACCGCGGGTTCCCACTTCCTCTGCCATCTCTGTGCAGCTGCTGTGGGCGGGGTGACATCAGCATCCATCTCCACCCTGAGGCCCCAGATCCGGGTTCGGGTCCCGGGAGGGTTCGATGCAGGAACAGGATAGATCGTGCAGGGTTGATTAGCAGGGCACCCTGCGTCCTTGACACCCTGTCCTCCCCC